AAACTGCAAATTCAACAGGTGGTAGAGCCATATTGGCTGAAACATAACTCTTTTTTTTCCTCCTACATTTTTTTTTTTTAAAGCCCAGGGTGTTGTAGAGGCCGGTTACTAGGCACACATTGATCGCCAGGAGTGGTCAGCCATGGTCGTCCTGAGGGAACGAGGCTTACCTTCCAATTCCATCCTCACGTCAATACTCCTAGTGCACCCCCTACCTCTACTATCCTACCACACTGTGACCAGCACTCAGGACCATTCCCCTATCGAGGGGAACTTGGACCAAACAGCAGTGACAGGCACCAGAGCTAGCCATGACCCAGCCGTGGTGGAAGCGGAATCGACCGAGCCTCGTCGCACGGGAACTTCGGACGCCAGGCCCAAGCAATCTCCTACTAGCCCCTAAGTTGACCAACTGGTAACTCACGCCCTCTACTTAATCTGGACCAACCAGTGACTCACGCCCTCTACTCGCCCACCACAGCCCTAGTCTGCTACACACAGTCTAGCTGATTTTAAGGGGGGTACTTAGTCATCGAAACGCCTATCATCATCATTAGTTGATCCAGACCAACCAGCGACTCACGCCCTCTATCATCATCAGTTAATCCAGACCAACCAGTGACTCATGCCCTCTACTCGCCCACCACAGCCCTAGTCTGCCACACACAGTCTAGCTGATTTTACGGGGGGTACTTAGTCATCGAAACGCCTATCATCATCATCAGTTGATCCAGACCAACCAGCGACTCAGGGATACTTATCATCGAATGCCTATCATCATTATCAGTTGATCATAACCTCCTCCCAGCCCTACGATTGTGTATGTATATATGTATGTACTCTGTATCTTGGATATATGCCCATGGGCTATATGTATGTTCGTAATGTGTATGTGGACCCGATTTCATAGCAGACACTGCTCCCCACCATGGAGCATCTGCGAGGTAAGTACTGAGTACTGGTGAGAGGTGCTCTTACCACCTCCACTAGTACATGTGTGTATGTGTACCTTGAGCTATGTGTGTACAGTATGTGATAGACTGTGTATCGTGGTTGTGCTATCTGGGATGATATCTCTGTATATGGGTGTGTGTGGTAGAGACAGCCCTATCTGGACAGGACTCCCCCCAAAGTCCGGAACCGGACTCGAACCTGTGACCTACAGCATGAAACTGGAGGGTTCTACCACATGTACTTCCGCGGGAAGTGGATACAATGTCTGTAATGTCTGGGCTGGGGGAGATCATCACAGCGACCAAAGCCAACAACAACTGGCAACTGGCGTGAAGTCTACGGCAGCATACAACATCCCTGGACTTAGCCCCTTGGGTGGTGTGCAGGCAGTGTCTGTAATAGTACCATGCATCAGCCCAGGGGAGTGTGTGTCCAGCCGTGCGTCATTCTAACGCCCTGCCGGTGTCCATGCGCAAGGCTGCGGAGTCTTGAACCCGCAACCTCATACCACAATGCGCATTTCCAACCGGTGCTCTAACCACTGAGCTACATCAACTGGACATGGCAACCTACCTTCTGACTCATCTTAGAAACGCAGTTTCTGTCCAGTTGATGTAGCTCAGTGGTTAGAGCACCGGTTGGAAATGCGCATTGTGGTATGAGGTTGCGGGTTCAAAACTCAATTGCAGCCGTGTGCATGGACACCGGCAGGGCGTTAGAATGACGCACGGCTGGACACACATTCCCGTGGGCTGACGCACGGTAAGCTTATACAGACTGCCTGCGCACCACCCAAGGGTTGTCCATGGTGTCGTATGTCGGGTCTTGATACTGTGTGGGTTGCTTGTGGCTGTTGCTCGTGGTTTGTTCTGTTGATCTCCCCAGTCTGGTGTATCACACACAGGGGCTATTTGCGATTGTTGCTCAAATGGTTGAGTCTTCAGGTCACATGTCACGGGTTCAAGTCTGGCTTGGGACTTTGGGGGGGGGGTTCTTGTCCAGCTTGGCCGGTCATCCCTTCAAACGAACACATAGTTCCCTCCACAGCACTGCACATATCTGGCCTTCGGGCACATACATCTAGCTATACAGCTACACAGAGCACACATAGACTGCACATATCTGGCCTTCGGGCACATACATCTCGCTATACAGTTACACAGAGCACACAGCCTTCGGGCAGATACAAAAACACATGGGCATACACACATACACACAACTACGATACTGGGCTGGGGGGGTCTATCAGGTATATGACAGGGTCTACTCACGCATGGCGTAGCTCTAGGGTAGGGATAGGGATATAAGCCGCTTCGGCTAGTTCGCAGCCCGTCAGGGTTGCGTTTTCCCCCCCTGAGATTTTCAACGTCACTCAGATTTCAACGTCGGTGGTCGTCGGGAGGGTGGGCATTTTGAGGTTTTGGGGCTTTCAAGGGCCAGGAACGCGAAGGACGGGTAGCTCCCCGTAGGAGGCCGAGGAGGCCGCGGTCCTTAAGCCTTCTCTGAAAATTGAAACGGTGCGGGTACACTCTTCTCGAATAGCAGATTTCCTCGAGTAGAAAACGTACACCTTGTATTTGAACACAACATGTACCCTTTCTATTCAGATTTCCAAAAGAAAAAACTCTTGTATTCCAATACAATTACTTTTTTTTTGGAGGTCAGCGCCTGCCCTTGTGCTCCCCGCTGCAGACATGCTGCATGCTGCAGGTCTCTCTCTCTCTCTCTCTCTCTCTCTCTCTCTCTCTCTCTCTCTCTCTCTCTCACACACACACACACACACACACACACACACACACACACACACACACACACACACACACACACACACGCACTCTCTCTCTCTCTCTCTCTCTCTCTCTCTCTCTCTCTCTCCTGTCTCTTATACACATCTAGATGTGTATAAGAGACAGCACACACACACACACACACACACACACACACAGATTCTCCTGTCTATTATGGGAGCGCCACCTGCTGGAAACTGGTTCCAGCGTCCCAAGAACATCGTGAATAAAGCACCAACCGGGACCCCACACACACTCTCTTCGAGTTGTGTATAGTGAACATGACAAAACATGCATACAGCATAATCACTACCTTACCCTTCCCGAACCACATAAACAAACGAACTACGGGCTGCGCACCCGTGCCCTCATGGTAAGTCAATCTGAGCTCCACCTAGCCTTGGGTAAGCTAGGGGAAGGACGGTAGGATGTGTCCCCGGGCACTGGCCTGCCTTGCTTAGGTAATCCTGCTGGGTAGACTCTCTGAATTGGGCCTGTAGAAGATTGCATGAGCCTGGCATCCGAAGTTCCCGTACCGCAAGGTCCGTCCGCTTCCGCTTCCATCAGGGCTGGGAGGTTGGCCCAGCCTTGGTGCTCGTCACTGCTGTATTGTCCAAGTTGCCCTCGATACTGGTGGGGTGATGGTCCTGAGTGCTGGTCACACTAAGGTAGGGTAGTAGGGACAGGGGGTGCACTGGGAGTATTAACGTGGGGATGGGTAGGGTAGGTGGCCTATCCTGTCAGACAACCATTAGCTGCCGCTACTAGCAATCACCGCGGGTCTGGTCCTTGGCCTCTACAACACCATGGGCTTTAAATAAAATTAAAAAAAAAAAAAAAAAAAAAAAAAACAACAACAACAACAACAACCAACTGTGTGGTACAAAAAAACAGGTTTAGGGCGAACTAATCGCAAAATTTCTCAAGGACGCGCCCTATAGTTTCTACGACTTTCTAGATGTGTCTAATGAAAAACCCTGAGCACCGAGTGCGTGACCCTTCGGGTGCCTCATACTTTCTTATCCTAATAGGTGGAGAAAAGTTCAAAGTGTGGCAGCAGGTTTGTTGGACTTTCTTAGATGCATCCAAAGAACTTTCTTAGATGCAACCAAAGATCTTTCTTAGATGCATCAAAAAGAAACTATCCCTAAGATTCAGACCCAAAAGTACTGGTCAAGTTTTCTTTCTACCTATCTATCTATCTATCTATCTATCTATACCCTAAAAGAATAAGAAGGTCAAAAGAGGCTGAGGATGGGGAAGGCGGGGTGGAGGGGGGGAGAAGAGGTTGACATTCACTGGTAACCTCCACAATAACCAGAGAAAATGAATGACACAGGTCCTCGCCACACCGTTCCCGATATGAGGGCCTACTCACAATAGAGGCTTTTTTGGCAAAGCCGCAAATTTGCTACAGTTTTGCAGTCACACTTTGCCCACCCGCCCATCAAATTTGCAATTGGTGTCGCAAATGGCAGTGGCCTAAAGAGCTGCAGAGTTGAGCAATTTGCCACTACCTCTGGAGGTGTTGACAATTTTTATTTTTTTATTTTTCTTTTTTCCGAATCCATGAGCTCACAGAAGAGAATTGCAGGCATCCCTCGACTACTTTTGCTGCGTGACCCTCAACAAGTGGGCAATTTCGCAAATGGCAGGGGGTCAAGGCATTGTCTTTTCCAGTTTGCTACCCCTGTGTGACTGCGCGACACAGCAAAATGGCAAACAGGGAGTAGCAAACGCCACAAAAGTTTTGATGTTTTGCTACACGTGTGTGGGTATGCCCTGAGGCTTTTCAGAAGTGGAGGTATCGTCGCAACACCTGTCGAAAACCTGACCCAAAAAAAAAAGAACGAGAGGTGTCAGAGGCTTGAGATTGGGACCAGCAAGCGCTTGGGGGATCCTCTGCGGTGTTCTGTGTTTCCCCAACCAGCTTTTGCAAGTTCACCATTTGAGAGTGGTGTGAGGCGAAGCGGTCAAAACTCGCAAATTTGCTGCCTATCAGATTTTCTACTTTTAATTTTTTTCGTTTTAGAATGGTGAGGCACACAGAATATTAACAAAAACGTTCTTCTCTTCGAACGAAGGAGAAACACATATCAAGAACTGCAAGGGCCAGCACCAAACGACCGAAGCCTAAGGAGGAGGGGGAGGGGGTTGGGTG